AAGACTGCATGGATTGGTTCGCCTATGAGATGAAGCAGTTGGCAGAAGATATAACTACCGTATTCTGGTGTCCTTATGATATTCATATGACTTCAGAACAAGAAGCAGATTTTCGAAATGCCACACATTGTCACATTTGTGAGCAGAAATTTGGACTTGATGATGTGAGAGTAAGGGACCATAATCACCTAGTTCCAGAAAAAAATTATAGAGGAGCTGCTCACGATTCTTGTAATATAAATTATAAGGACAGTCCTGTGGTGCCTGTTGTATTCCATAATTTGAGTGGTTACGATGCAAATTTTGTAATAGCTGACATTGCCACTAAAATGAAAGGAACTATCGACTTACTGCCCATAACGAAGGAGAAGTACATTTCCTTCACTAAACATGTTGACGGAACTTGTGTTCAGTTCAGATTCATCGACAGCTTCCGTTTTATGAATTCCTCTCTGGACAAGTTAGCATCTTATTTAACCGAATTCCCCAATCTAAGGTCTCAATTCTGTAGCGTCGCCGAAGATCAACTTTATCTTCTAACTAAGAAAGGTGTGATGCCATATGATTACTTCGACTCGTTTGAGCGTTTCAGCGAAACCCGGCTACCTCCAATTGATGCTTTTTATAATAAATTAGACGATAAGGCCTGCCCTCGCAGACTCTATCTTCGTGCAAATCTTGTGTGGAATGAGTTCAATTGTCGAGACTTGGGTCAGTACGTGGATCTATACATGATGACTGATATTCTCCTTCTCGCAGACGTATTTGAACAGTTTCGTACCAGCTGCCTCAGAACTTACAATCTTGACCCCACACACTATTACACCCTGCCAGGATTCACTTGGGATGCCATGTTGAAATATACGAATCAGGAGTTGGAACTTATCACTGACCCTGACATGTTTTTGTTTGTTGAGCAAGGCATCCGAGGAGGTCTCAGTCAAGTTTGTTCAAAAAGAAGAGCTCATGCAAACAATAAATATATTCCTGATTATGATCCTTCGAAAGCCGATTCCTTCTTGATGTACTATGACGTCAATAACCAATACGGATGGGCTATGTCTCAAGCTTTACCATATGGAGGTTTTGAATGGACTGACACCAATATCGACGTCACGGCTATTCCCGATGATGCAGAAGAAGGATATATTTTAGAAGTCGATTTGTATTATCCACTACACCTCCACGATGTACATAAAGATATTCCATTTTGTCCTCAACACATCAATCCTAAGACTGGAAAGCCTCCCAAATCTGTACGAGAACACACCAAATTGATGGCGACCCTACGCTACAAGGAGAAGTATGTCATTCACTACCGAGCCCTGAAACAGGCGTTGAAACATGGTTTAGTGCTGAAACAGATACATCGAGTTCTCAAGTTCCAGCAAGCTACGTGGTTAAGATCATACATAGACCTAAACACTGAACTCCGAAAACAAGCAAAAAATGTGTTTGAGAAGAATTTGTTCAAGCTCATGAACAACGCTGTTTTTGGTAAGACAATGGAAAACATTAGGAAGAGAGTTAATGTCAGACTTTTGACAGAGTGGGTGGGAAGATATGGTGCTGAGGCGTACATTTCAAAACCCGAGTTCAAGAATTGTATAGTCTTCAATGAAAATTTGATTGCTATAGAAATGAAAAAACTGGAAATCTATCTTAACAAACCCATTTATGTTGGTCAAGCTATTTTAGATTTAGCTAAGACAACATTATATGACTTTCACTACGACTACATGACCAACACATTTCGTGATTGCTCAGTTCTCTATACTGATACTGACAGCTTGATTTATGAGATTGTTGGTCAAGATCCATATGAGGTTATGAAGAAGGACTGTCATCAGCGCTTCGATACCTCCGACTATAAATCGAATAACATTTATAATATTCCTCAAGTCAATAAGAAAGTGCTGGGAATGTTGAAAGATGAGCAAAACGGAGTACCGATGATCGACTACGTTGGTCTGAGATCGAAACTCTACTCAACAAGAATTCTAACTACGATTGATGACATTATGAGTAAACGAGAAGAACTGATGCATGAAGGATATGATGATTTTGAAATTGATGATATTCTGAGGAATTTTGGTATAACGAAAAAGGCTAAGGGTGTGAAGTCGTCTGTTGTGAAGACATCAATAACCTTCACTGATTATGTTGAGTGTTTGGATAATTGGAAGGAAAAAACTGTCACTCAGAATTTGATCAAATCAGATAAACATCAAGTTTATTCTATCATACAAAAGAAGATTGCTCTCAGTCCGAATGATGATAAGAGATATATAATTCCTGGAACTGATGAAACGTTACCATGGGGACACTATTCAATCGATGATGATGTTGTGGAATATGGCTCATAAATTGATGGTGATATCTCTAGAATTATTTTGTTTATATATATATTTACACTAACGAATAATAAATATTATCATGTATCAGTACTCATTATTTTTCCAACCTGTCTTCCCTCCCTATGAATGTTCACCCGTTCTGTACTCCTACCAACATGGTCAACTGCGGTGACCTTGAAAAAAGAGCCATTTTTGCTATTTTTTCGACCTTAGATTTTCTTATGGAGATTGAGATGGGGAAACTGAATTGAGCCTCCATGCTCTGGCTGTATATGAAAAAAAGAGCCATTTTTGCTATTTTTGACCTTAAATTTTCTTATGGGAATTAACATGGGAAAACTGTCCAAATTGGTCCCGTGCTCTTGCTGTACATATACTTCCGCCATCTCGAATTTCCAAATTTTGATGAAAGAATCATAATCTCCGACCCCGAAATCCTCCAGTTACCAATTTTGAATTGAATTGGACCATAATTACAAAAATCTTCCGCCATATTGGATCCGCCATCTCGAATTTTCTCATTTCGACGAAAGAATCATAATCTCCTACCCCCAACACCCCCGAATACCAATTTTCAGATATCAATTACAAAATTCGTCCGCCATATTGGATACGCCATCTTGAATTTTCAAATGTTCACAAAAGAATCATAATCCTTGAATCCGAAAACCTTCGGATACCAATTTTGAATAAAATCGGATAATAAATTCAATTCAACCTCGAAAGATGTCGAACAGCACTTTATCAAGACTCCTTCATCCATAGAACGGCTAGGCTCTGGAATTCATTGCCTGTGGAAGTATTCCCAACAACATATTATAATCTCCAAAAGTTCAAAAAAATTCCAATACCTACCTCCTGTCCCTATCATCCCAAGGAACGCACGATGTTCTTTGAACATTATAGGAATTCCCTTTCGTGTTTCGTGCGTTCCAAGCGATAAAAAAAAGAACTCGTCCGCCATTTTTGGATCCGCCATCTTGAATTTTCAAATGTTCACGAAAGAGTCGTAATGTCCGACCCCGAAAACCCCCAGATACCAAACTCGTCCGCTATATTTGTTCCTTGCCCCCTATGCGGACGCCCCTATTTAGTATATACCAATACAGAAAATATCCGGCCGAGAGCTAACTTCATTGACATAGCGAATCACTATCGGCCCCTACAGTAAATACCGCCACAGTATTTTTTCAATTAATCACTTCGAAAATAGAAAGAAAAAGTAGTTGGAGAGTACGGAATTCGAACCCACGATCTTTGCTTCCATCATGTGTCTTGCGAATTCAAGTACAAAACAGATTTATAGAGGATATGATAATCCTGACCACATGGATTGGCTCCGTAAAAAATATTTTTAATTCAATAAAGAGTACCTATTACATCGTAGAATTTGTATACAATTTCATGATAATCGGTTGTGTAGTTTCGGCTTGAAAGCCCGACAAACAAACTTTCACATTTATAATATTAGTATATAGGGGTGGTTACATTATAGGGTGTTGAAATTTTAAGATGAAATTCGTTTTCTTATCCTAACTTCAATACTGTTCTGAGTATTTTCATGAAATTTGACATGCACCTACTATGCACCAATAGGCATTTTTTGGTGCAGGAGATTTTTCAATATTGTTACCAGTGGCGTCCGTTTCGGATGCATACTGGAGATTTGCCTAAAAATATATTATACACCCTTGTTTCTACCGAAAATAAAAATCCTTCTTGAAATCCTCATTTATTTTGCAACAATTTGACTTAAATTTTTTCCGTCCCACGCACCATTTGCACGTAAAATAATGAAAACAATTTTCATGTATTTGTGGTCTAACGAAAACTTGAACGAAATTATTTTGTACTCTTTAGGAGGCTAGTGCCCTATTATGTATTTAAAATAATGACATTTGATCGATTACGTTGCGGTCTCATTTAATAAATAATAGAGAGAAAATGAAATGAACCATTCATCTCAAAATAAGCTAACGAACCATATCCCATATCCTATATTTTAAGCCATCAGTTGGTATGAAAAATAGTAATTTAGTATCCTATTGAAATTTCAATCCAATCTATCTGAAATATTTTTAGTTCTGCAGCTGAACAGGGCGGTGTTCTGAAAGTTAAATAGAAATCTAAATTTTTTCACATAGTTCAATTGGCCTTCTTATTCTGAGTTCAGATATCCTAATTTATTTCAACTTATATCTATCACAGTTTTCGAGATACATACATGGTAGCAATCTTTCAATGCGGCATTTTAAAATTGCCCGTGAGACCATCGATGGGAGATCGGCAGTTAACCTAGATTTCAAGCTGTTTCACAATCATGTATCTCGCAAACCGTTCAAAACCGTTTGTGAGATACATGTTTTCGTGAACTACTACCGACTCCTGTCACACCCTGTATAGCTGAAAGTACTGAAATATTTCAGTTAGATGGCAAATGATCGATTAACAACATATGAATTTTAAGATTTTTAACCGAACTGCAAGTTGGAAAACTGGGAATGTGTGGGCTATGTAAATCAACTCTGAAAATGTTTTTCATAGGATATTTTTTCTGACGGAATCTATTATGGATCAGAAAGAAATAACAAATTATTTATATGAAATGAATAATTAGAATAAAGGTATTTGATTTCCTTGCAGATTGCAAGTACCACTGCACCCACGTACCGCCAAAAAAATCGTGATAACTTTCCTGTCGAGGAACACGAAATACCGTAAAATACTGAACGAGGACGAGTTAGTAGCCACCCTCGAAAATAACAGCAATTACGAGGTCAGAAGGGTGGTGTACGACAAAAACATTCCGTTCAAAAAACAATTGGAGATAACGAGAAATTCTGACGTTTTCATCGGTATCCATGGGGCAGGGTTGACACATTTGCTGTTTCTGCCGGAGTGGGCGGTGCTTTTCGAACTGTAAGTTTCCATTTTTGTTGAATGCCTACAATAGTTACCTATGTATCGTAGACGGAAAACTGTCTATTATAGTCGAGTCTGCAAACTGATATGCGAGGCCCGGTCGCGGCTAGCAAGCAGGCTAGACAATAGACAGTTTTTCGCCGAGGTGCATATTAAATTTTTTCGTCGACCTCAAACACCTATATTCACACACCACGGTCTCATTCACACGTACAATCTATCGGATTGCGTGAATAAATAAATCAGCGAATGACAGTTTATAGCTGTCATCTCAATCGTCGCTCTTGCTGCGTTATGTATCATATTAAACACAGCGGTCGAAAATATACTATCTGCGGACAAAAAGTAGTTGCCTTCAAAAATAGTCGTTGTTTCATTCGTAAATTGACATGTAAAATATGATTTTTTTTGTAGAGGTCGACGAAAAAATGATATATTCGTGCAATCGCACGCAAAGAGAGTATTTTGCGTTCTTTGATGAAACGCGAAATCAAATTTTGCGGCTGTTAATAGACATAAATTACTAACTAAACCGCTGGTGCCATAAGAACGAAGCTCATTCATTTACGAAATCTATTTTGGTCTATGTGATTATTTCACTTGAAAAAAGGTAGACATTTTCTGATATTTGTTGGCAGTAGCTACTGTCAAATTAAGTGTCATTTGTCAAAGGCATTGTCTTCTGTCAATGTGAATTTTAATAAATTTGTGAAAAGAGAAGGCTTAAGAAGTTTTTCTTGCTCTTATATTTTCAATAATTATAATCTTATAGAAATACAATGTTTTTGATTTGTTGCCTATTCTATTCACCATATATTTGACATCTCCGTAGCCAACCTTTTGAAAGGCTACTAGACTGATATTGAACAATTGGCATTCAATCACTCCACTGTGTCGTTAGGGACTTGAATAAATTTTTGCAACACTTAAGCGTTTTTTTAAGTGAATAATGTGTCGTATTGTCATTGAATAAACCTACATCCACATTAAATATTTCATTTGGCCTAATTGGCGGAAGTAATTATATTGTGGTTATTCAATTGAGACTTTTTCGAGCAGCCAACTTGTCAAAATATTTCGTATACTATCCAGAACAAAATGTCATGTAAATTATTGTAAATGTTGGTAGGATACTTGGCAACATGTGCTGAAAGTTGACAAGATAACGATCACGACCCTTGCTGTGTTGTCACGTTTACCTGACAGCATTGGCAACCATAGGGAAGCGTTTTCCGTTGCTTTGATTGGTCAATATTGGTGGCAATATTACACTTGCCTAATATTATGACATGTGACGTAAAGAATGAAGTTTTCTTTGTGAGAAGATGATCACATCATCACATTCCATTTATTTGTTGTATATTTCATATGTTACAATAAATCATGAAAATAAACATGATCTCAAAGTGAAATTGAATAATTAGAATGGCCATAATTTCGAATTAGGCGCCATTATTTATTTCATCAGTGTAAAGATTCCTTCAGAGGCACCGCCAAATACTGTCTTCTTATTTGGAACGTAGTATAGTGTGAATTAATATAATCATCTCTAAACAAATTCAAGCAATTAGCCACAACACATAAGAGGAAAAATGTTAAACAATGGATTTTTTTCAGCTGTTTGAGACTATCACCAATACATAATTGAGAATCTATGATTTATTAAATAAATAATATTTCTTTAGTTTCCAATAATATTTCAACATATGACAACTGTGCTATTGTCTGCCCCTACTTACGAAATCATGACGTCAGTTGCTATTTGCGTTAAATTTCTAGTCGTTTGAAAATTATCCTCTGATACTGTTGATGAGTTTTTCCTTCAAATCGGACGAAAAGAATCTTAAAAAAATGTGGAATTGAAAGATGTAGTTGACTGATGATTCTATTTAAAGAATAAAAAAATAATCCACTTGCCTATATGAGATGTTCAACTTCTGGAAACATGGTCAATGAAGCGAGCGCATATAGGACCTCTCATATATCTTATTCACTTTTACTTATGTTTCTGAACACCAAGAGACAAAATTCGATGCATTGAGCAGAAGCGATTTCAGGCGAGCATAGCGGTCTAGATAGTAGTTATATATGTTAGTTTATTATCCACTTTATGGCATATAGGTGAGAACTATTTGCAGATACAATTGTGAAGATAGCAATTGCTATTTCGATTTGGCACGACTGAAAGGAGTGAAATATCTCACTTGGGAGGATGACACAAAATTGGAACGGTTTGAAGAGGTGGGTGCGCCTTTAAGTGAAAAGCAGGGTCAGGAAAAACAAGTATAATCTATGAACTTCATTTGTTTTCAGGGTGGATATGAAGGTGGAGCTCATGCCAAATTTGCAAATTATGTGTTCGATAAAGAGGAGTTTCTGAGGATTGTCGAAAAGGCAGTACAGTATGTTAGGAATCATACACAGTTCGAAAAACTCGTAGATAGAGTATTGAAAGCACCCAGTCATGAGGAATTTTAATGCCAATTGGCTGGAAACAATCGCTACTGTTACTCTGGAATTTGAAAATTATTTTTTTCTCAAACTGAAACATTTTATTGATGTCTCTTTTCAGTATTGATCAAATTGGAATTAACCCCTATTAACGTTGATATATTTTTCAATATAGCTATTAATGATAAGGGACAAAGGCATACAAATATCAAAAATACTTAATAAATCATTGAATCATTTACGAAAAATTGAAGTAAACTGTCTGAAAAATAAGACCAATGAGTACTCAGAATAATAATGGTGCATCCATTACAATGAAGAATCTGTAGCAATCTGTGATATTTTAATATAGGAATATATTTAGTTTTTCGTAATTTTTATGACATTGAAGATGATGCTTCTTCCACATGTTCTTCGAAATTTGCAACTTCAAAGTTTTTGTATACTCATAATTATCTAATTGACATATCAATTTTACTAATAAAAAGTACATTTGAAATTATCTACAGTGGAATATTATTTTTCAAAAATATCCATTTTGAGTTACAGGGTATCAAACATTTGATTTTCGAAAAAATCATCCAAAAGCCATTTTCTCTACAAAAAATGCAAGGTCTCGCATAAAGTTGGGCACACTGAATGAATATTCAGTATGACCCACTTTAAAAACCGGAGAATCCTTATGAAGTTTCAGTTATCAATGGATTGAATTTTTTTCTGTTTCGGCAAGAAGTATCAACAGTCATTTACTATACATTTTCACAAATTTGAAAAACTTAATTTCAATTTTCGGATATTTTTCATCCACCTAGCGATTATTTTCAAGAAAATTCGACTCCACTACCGGATTCAGCATCCTTCATTTTTTTATCGCCCTAAGTGCACGAAAGGGAATTCCCATAATTTTCGTATCATTTCATCAAATTCTGATAAGCGGCAACATGGTCCTGGTAGATTTTCGAATCTATTACACAAATCATTTTTCAACATCTAGAATAATGCCAATCAAAATGTTTCATATAAAAACTTCACAAACGATAAGATTTCCACAAAATTCTTAAACACACAACATGTCGTTTCGCTAACACAGTAGCTTCATCAGGTGTGAGATGCTTATACTGGTTCATATCACCTGACGAAGCTACTGTGTTAGCGAAACATGTTGTGTGTTCAAGAATTTTGTGGAAATCTTATCGTTTGTGAAGTTTTTACATTTGCCATGGATTTCCATCAAGTAACGGCCGAGTCAATTTTAAAAATCGAAATGTTTCAATAACATTTTGGGATTATCAACATCTAGTACATAGCCAATCAAAATGTTTCAATAAAACTTTGTGATTAGCCCAATTGAAAGATGCTGAATTCAGTGGTGAAGTTGAATTTTGTTGAAATAAAAACGCTAAAGACATTTTGCAAATTTGTGAAAACGTAGATCATTTGATGCTCTTCCTACTGAAACAGGAGAAACAAATAGAATTGTTTGAAAACTGTAGATCTATAAGGGTAATCCGCCGGTAGTAAGTGGGTTACCCTGTATATCCTCAGTTGAAGTATTTTTTGAGATGGCTCTCATGAAAAACTATATAATCTGTTTTATTTGTCATTAGCTGGCATACTACTCATACCAGTGGTCTCCTGGCATATGGCAAAACCATGTTTCTAAGGTTATGTATGTTGATTTTTTGTTTCAAATATAACAAAATAAATGGTAGAAGAATATGGTAAAACATTTTCATTTGGTAAAATTCATAACAAATAATACATTTTCTACTAGATGAATATCAAATGTTTGTCTTAGTCTTTTCCAGACAAGAATTTTGACAAGAAATCTTTTGGTTTGGGTTCAACAGTGTCTTTGGCAAAGTATGCCATGACATGGCCTTTTTGTTTCCACATGTTCACTATCTCCTTCAACTCCATTTGACTCTAAAATAAAAATTCAATGAAAATTACCACATATAACTTGGCCTGGTACGGATAATCTCTATCTGTTTCCATAGCGAAACATGAAGCCGATTTTTGAAGAAAAATGACTATCCATAAGGAAAAGTTTTGAACCGATCAGACACATACTGCTTTGATTGAAAGGCTAGTAAACATCATTGTCCACCGAAACGCATGTCTTTGATGACTACTATAATAGCTCATGGCGCATGCGTATCATGCCACCAAATCCTTATGGATATTCATTTGTTTCATATTTTTGGCTTCATCCTGGCAAGGAGAGGGTTAGACATTTTGTGTATTGGCAGCAATTAGTATGAAACTGAGTCTCAGTGTCACATGTCAAATGCATTAGGTTCATTCTCCTTAGAAAAATAAATAGTCCAAAACCATAAAAGCATGTGTATTTCCAGGGATCATGGAAAACTTCAATAGTTCTATGAAACTGCACATGCTCCTGATGGTTTCAGACTGTTTATTTTCTGAAGGAGAACAAACCTATTATCTTTCATCATCAAATAATTGATAATATTGAAAGGCAATAAATTCAACACATAGCACTTAATAGGGAGAGCAGTTGCTTCCATGTGAAATATGAAACTCAAATATCCATTGAATGTTGAATGATAATTATAATAGTCCATTCAAAAATTAACTGATATAGGTATTTATTTAATTGCAAGGGGAGGGACAGTGCCAGTACCCAGTCACAGAGAGTATTCTGTGACCCAGTGATATTTTTATTATTTTGTTGGTATTTACTTACCTTGATAACCATCATATCCATGAGCCTTACATCTTGATATGCAATCATATTAGTGAATTGTTGCCTTAGTACACTTCTACATTGTTCTATGTTCATTGGTATATCATATTGTTTCACTGCAAGAAATATGAAAGTTGAATCCCTTTCAAGAATTATCATTTGAACAAATAATAAAGAATACTTCACAACCCTTGATATAAGTCAAGTAGTGTTCTCCATGCTACTTTCAGACAATAAGAGAAAAAAACTAGGTAGATATTTTGGAATCAGAATCCTACACTTGATCCTTCATGTTGCATATCATTTGAAAATTGGGAGTTCTGTATACTTGTACCCACCTATGTAAGGGAGCTGTCTAAACCAGGCTTTGTACAAATTGAGGACCCTTTTTCTGGATTCATCTAAATCCAGTGATAAGATCGGTTTCACTTCTCTGGCCCCACGTCTAATGGCAGCAGAAGCCATTTGTATTTCCTTTTGAAGCAGCTGGACTTTTTTGATCACCGCTTTATATAACTTCTTGTGTTTGGGTATTTTATTTCAAATATTGGGAATTTTGTGAAAATGATGTAAGATTAAAATAATGAATTTGATAGTGTCTAAGAAACCTACAAAGTGAAGTTGCAGACTGCAATCTCGTCCTCGCAGTCCGCTAGTAGGCATAGGAAACACGAATTCAATACTACCCGAAATGAGCCACCGTGCCATAAGGATGCACTAATGATGGAAGATATTATTTGGGCTATATTCCGAATTCAACTGACAGTACTGAATCTGCTGAATTTTCATTCCGAAATCAAAAAAATTACCTGAAAGTGACAGATAGTCGTGAGCAGATATACTATTCATTCCAAATATTTCGACTCAACATTCTTCTGAAATTGCTGACTATCAAAAGGTAGTATGGCTTCAGTGAACTGTCATTATTTTTGAGGGGAAAGGAATGACACATTCATTTCCGTTGTTTTTCAAACATTAAGTCTTGAGAGAGAGATGGAAGAGGAGACTTTCCTCTCTCTCGTTCAAGATAGAAAAGAGCTCAATTGGTTTAACAAGTTTCGTATTATTTTTACCTCACGTCGGCATCAACGCCTATTGGTCGATTCCGTTACCTATAGAGACAGAAGTTGGTCCCGCTTTGAGGACAGCTATGATTCATATATGAGTAGTAGATATATGTTATTTAGCAATGAAAAGGATTGTGTACGTCGGGAGATTGTCGGGAAACTAACGACATGCAGTAAATGGAATGATTTCTACTGCTGGCGCTGCGGACATTTCATCAAAGTCGCTCTTTTCTTTTATCATGCCTGCCACCCTTAGATCATATCCTGAAGGTGAGTTCCCAATGCAGCTCTTTTGCTTTTCGCGTCACGCACTATGATTGGTGACGCGTAAATGAGAATTGCACTGTTTTTTTATTATTTACTTCAGTTCCCAATGAAATTACGTATCCTTGTCGATTAGGGTCCCTTGATGGAAATTGACGTTAAAGTCATCTTAACAGGGTACGGGTGGTACGGATCAGTCTACTGGCATTCCTGACATTGCTGTCACGTCACATTCACGGGCGCTACAGAAAATAATTCGAAATTCTAATAATAGGTAAGTACAGGGTATTTACTTGTTGAGGAAGATCATATGGCGAACGAGTTTTGTAATTATGATCTGATTCTATTCAAAATTGGAAGAAATCTGGGGTTTTCCGGAGTTGAAGATAATGATTGTTTCGTCAAACTTGGGAAATTCAAGATGACGGAACCAATATATAGCGAAAGATATTTTTTCTAATTATGATATCTGATTCTATTTAAGATTGGTATCAGCTGAGGGTTTTCGGGGTCGACCTTTATGAATTTTTGTCAAAATTGGGAAATTCAAGATAGCGAATCCATATGGCGATCGAGCTTTGTGATAAATAGTTATTTGAGAAATCAATTAAACACGCGTTCGTAGAAACTTATTCGAATTAAGAAGAAGTAGAACAAAAATAGTAGTTTTAAAAATTGAAGAGAAAGATTGCCGAGCTGAACAGGAGTATAAAATGAATAGTATTTTGAAAAACGAAAGGAACACGCAAATTCTAGAGGAGACATTCTTGCTTGGAAGTCGACGAATAACGCTGAAGGGTGTGTGCAGCAATCTCTCAAAAAATAGAAAAAAAAATTCGAAACAAATTGTGGGTCACCGAAGTTAATGAAATTGATTGTAATCCACCAAGTACGAATTCTGTATAATGATTTTTTCAATGAAAATATCACGAGAGCTGCATTGGCTCCAGATCTTACCTCTAGTGGTATTCAAATAACCACTGCTCAAAACTACACTTTTAACATTAGTTCATATAATTATTACTCTACCACAAATCGAAAATATGTAGGATGCATGAGTGAAAATAACGTGCCTATAAGATATACTATGTATACATACTTCTTTCTACCTTCATCAATAAATTATTTGAAAATGACTCTTTATTCAAGGGAGACGAAAAAACAAATGTATTACATGGGGGTTAAGTATATATAGTTATTTATTATACAAGGGAAAAAAGTAGTAGATTTTAGCTCCAGGTTGTGTTGTCTCCCGACGCGTAGCGGAGGGAGACAAAAAACCGTGAGCTAAAATCTAATATTTTTCCCGTGTATAATACACTATTTTTTTCTGTGACAGAAGGAAGGACGAATCAATATTGAGAAGATATTACATTATTTCGAAATGTGAAAATTATCGACGTGAAATTTCAAGTTTTCAACAGTAGGGACACCTGCGTTTTATAGACATCTTCATCATTCTTTTGAAGTAATCAAATATCTGATGTCACTTCTGTCAGTTCAATTTTGTGATTTGATTTTAAAAAATTGCGAATTCAGTAGTTGTTCAGTAATATACGAAACCGCGAAGTCGAATGAAAGATAAAAGGACTTGCAGTTCTTTCTCGGAGACGGTATTATTGACTCATTTTTCGGAACTATAGCACAACAAAAGCCATTAACAGAGTATATATTATATGTGATATATATCCGGGAAAGAAGTACACACTTTTTTCCCACGGGAAAAAAGTAATTTATGAAAAGTGACATTTTATAACCTGCCAACAGAGATGAAATGCCAAACTTTTTTCCCGTCACAGAAAAAATATTCTTTATTTTCCAGCACACTTTACGTATTACTTTTCATCAGCCTACTCTTCGTCCTCGACGAAGTTTTATACATAGTGTGATATTAGTCACTCCATAAATTCTTCTTCGAGTTGGATTTCCGAAAATATATTTAGCATACATGACATGAGTACAGTAGTTTAGATACTCACATCGAGGTTTTCACCATTTCTCAATCATAAGGCTCAGCTCATCCAACTCATAGATAAACTACTGCTCAGCTTGAAATCAGAATTCCTTCAGTCAATTCAGTCAACCCTGGTATACAGTCTAAGAACAGTCTCTTTTGGTGAAATACCTATATTAAGCTTTCAGAACAATTAATTTATATGTTCCCTACCTAGCAAACATCACACTGGAGTAGTAAACTCTAAAACTAGAGGATTGTTCATCTACATCTTGGTATAGTTGATTCAGGAATTCCATATGGAAATTACGTATGATACGCCAATGACATCAATATAACCTAAAAAACAACAAATGTCAAAAATCTAGTATTTTAACGAGGGGCTAAATCACAAGTTGCGTTCCACCCGCTGGTTGGTTGTGTGACGCTTCGTCTGAGCGTGGTTTTTATTGGATGGACAAGTGGAGGTATTTTCAAATTTCGTTCAAATTCATTCATTTCCCCAGATTTGAATAAGGATGGAACTATATAACTGTTTCACAAACACTTTAGAGTGAGAGGAGACGAGGATCTGTCCGTACCCTGTTAGGATGACAAAGTCGATGTGGTCAAAGTTTGCGATGAAAAATCATGAAAATATCTGAGAATACTGCATATATAGGATAATGCTTGCGAGATATACAGAGCATAGTGAAAATGAGATAATCAGGAAGGTACCTACTCTAGGGATACTGCAATGATTTACTCATCTTGAGATCACTTTCTAAAATGAGGGTTTAATGGAGTTCCATTCAAAATTTCTACGTTTCCATGAAACATCTTGTATTGAAAGAATTTATATTGTTTCAGCATATTGAGGTTTCTGGAACATAACCTGAACGCAACACAAAGCAGCAACGCCAAGAAGTTGAAATATTTCAACTTCATCGCGTCAAATATTCATCACCAGCGTCACCAATCAGGTTGCATGACGCGCGACGCGTAAAGCAAAAACGCCGCATTGAGAACTCACCTTAAGCTGCTAGCGGACGTTTGGGAAAATACTAGAGTGACATTGGGACTGTTCCGTTTCATGCATCAGATGCATAGACTGCATTGACGCATGGAAGCGTTCCTTTCAACATATGTCACTATTGTCACCGTACAAAACGGAACGATCTCATGACAGCATTGCCACATGCCAGATCATCTGTCATTCTCAATTGATTGATACAAGCGTAATATATGAGAAATTCAAATCAAAATGCTATGAAATGTTGCAGTCGCACATTTCTGATTTGCAGTGTCTCAGCACTGTAGGTAAATATCCATAGAGAAAGAAAATACTGTGTCCGGAGTGTCCACACAGTCAGCCCTGTGAGAGTTTCCCGTGAGCCAACCCCAGCCAGATCGTTGATTTATCAGAACTGTGTTTCCATCAGCTGTGCAATGCAATAAATAATAATTGAATTGAGCTTATGATTGTAATAAGGTATGTAAACAAGAAAAGAAGCAAGGATGACAATAAAGATTTTATATAGAATATAGGTATTTCACTCACCTTGTAGTGATATTCCATATCAGATAATAAATTCTTTATTTGATTAAATTTTTTTTTTCAATTTCCTGATTATGAAATGTTTCATGTGAGAAAAATGTATAGGATGGCTAAACTGGAAGTGTCTTTTATTCCTTTGTTTTTTGTTATATCAAGATGGAGTATTTAAATAAAAATAAAATATTGCTTTTGGTTTCATCCTATATCTTTTGTGATGAAGAGTCTAGTGATAGTAGTAGTAGCAGCAGTAGTGACAATGATTGCTTGGATTACGAACATGAAGATATACATGCCATATATTTTTTGGTGATGGCATCAGAAGTTCCTGGTGAGATGGTAATTGCTGGAAAATTACATGATTGTTGTGTATTCCACAATTACATTTAAAGAAAACTCCAGGTAAGTTGTACAATGTCAATATGATTCAACCAGTTTCTAATATAAATATGCTCAATATTCAGTTGGCTTTTAATTTAGTAAAACATTGATTTTACAGGTTACTTCCTGAGACATTCAAAGGGGTTCTAAGACTTATAGGGCCAACATTGAATTCTTTACCTAGAATAGGAGGAAGACAATGTATTGACTCCAAGAAACAGCTACTAATAGCAATATGGTTCATGGCAACCCCAGATTCATATAGGTATGTCCTATGCATAATATTCACATAAAGAAGTTGGTGCTAAACAAAGGTTTAAAAGCACCCTGTTTATTTATTACATGTGCTTCAAGTTTTCAGATATCTTTTCCCAAATTTTGTTATGGTGTTTATTTTTTTTAAATTCATCTTCAATATTTCGGAAAGATTCCAATAACATTAATGTGTCAGTCTCACTCCAACCTTCTACCTTGGTATCTAAAACAGAAAAAGTATATAGATGA